TAGCGTAATGTCTGAATAAAATCATGTCGATGCAACATGTTGTCGGAGTAGCGTAGTGTCTGAGTAAAGTAATGTCGAAGTAATATATTGTCGGAATAGCGTAATGTCTGAATAAAATCATGTCAATGTAACATATTGTCGGAGTAGCGTGTGTCGAAGTTCAATTTTAGAATTCTTTTTGAGTCCGGGAATTTTTGTAATGTTCGATATCTTATGCACCCTGCCACATTGAAACAGGGCGGCAGGACGGCGCGGTCCGGGGCCATACGTTATGATAAACAGGCGTAGGCCGCGCCCGCGATGAACGAAGGATGCGGGCGCAAAGCTGTATTCCATTGTGTTCTATGCCACCTTCCATACAGAGCAGCAAAGGCGGCACGTGGTTCAGGAGCGGGGCTTTACCGACAACATTAAAGTAGAAGCCTGGCCGTAAGGTTTTGTCTGCGCCCATTTAACGAATTACAACGAAACTCCATTAGTTTCGTTCTAATTCCTAATTTATATTATTGATAAATGTCAATAATATAAATACCGATAATTAATTCTGATATCTCACAAAGCGCAGACACACGTCGAACAAGCCGGCTTTATCTTAAGATGTGGTATATTAATCCATAGTTTTCAGTCTTACCTTTGCAGTGTAAGATTCATATCGTAGGTGGCCATCTGACCAGCATCCACGTGGAAAACGTACAACATGGTTGCGGCGAGACGAGCTCTCAACAATTGTAAAATCAACTACCGCTTACATTTGTAGAGTCGGCCATGGAAACTGAAAAGAAAATATGGTTTGTAATATTGCTACTTACACTAAACATTCAATTTAAACTGGCTTCGATTTTTACTGTCAACCATTTATTTATTATCCCAGTGCCTCAGATGTAAATAAAGTACACACGTAACAAATTCTTATTTTAACATACTGTGTACTATCCAACCGTTAATTAATCCACTTTACTTTGCACTTATATCGAGGCTTGTACAACTGAGGAAAAGGGTAATTGGAAAAATATTTTTTTATGCATTGTACTGTGCAATCCATCCATTTATTATCTGATGCAAAGTGATGATTGTTATTATTTAAATAATGATAATGTCACCTTCAATACACATACAATACATTATTAGGAGAAATATTAAACATAATTTGCTACAATGAAGGTACACTTCCAGTATCAGAAATACATTAACTGACATAAATATAACACAGAAATGGGTACAGTAAATACAACAAATACTCCGTTAATGTGGTACTGTTCCTAGAAATAGTAGAACCAAAATTAAAAAATATAAGTAACGAAATGCACAGACTGGATGTTGGTAATAGCAATAAAAAATAATACATCACATTAATATATCTACGGGACGTACTAGCGACCACTCATGAAGATCCTAGTGCTGCATGACTATTAAACACCAACATTTGTACAAGAAGAACTATATTACTGGTCACCACTAAAGGTCGTACATTTTTTATTATAAATTTCAACTTCAAAGTACTCAGTACAGTGAGTTTTAATTAGTAGTTCAGTTTGCGAGCCTCTTTAAAGGTAAAGCTGCGATCAGATAGTGATAATAGAACCTTATACTGAACCAGAGTTTCCAACAGAAGTACACGAAAAAGTATTACCACTGTCTTCAAAATTATAGAGTAGTATATTTGACAGCTTAAAACATGAATTAAATATATTTCACAGCACATAAAAAATTACAATAAGAACACCAAACAAATATAAGTATGATACAAAGGGCCCAGAAAGAAAAGACAAATATTCACCGACATTCAGCCTCAAATTCCCACAACACCATGGTTTTTTAAATTCCGTTCAGCTAATAAAATACTATGTCAACAATATGCCACCTTCATTTGGGTCACACATGTGCTCCTGTTTCATCTGGCTCAACTTAGGATAAAGGATAACTCATTGTGCGAGTGTGGTGTAGACGAAGCAAATGTATAATAATGTATATATTCTTTGATTGTACTAAGTCACAGTGTTCCCTGCATGACATCCTCCCTCCTTCAGTCCCTCGTCATACTTCCTTTAAACACCTTTTGTCCCTATCCTCTCTCCCAAAAATGTATTGTATTCTCTGTAAATTTGTACATATGAATCATATTAAATTGTAAATATTGTTCATGTCACTAACATTATATTTTGTACCTACTTAATGTATATATGCATACATGTTACAACAATTTGTGTTGTTGAATTTGGGCTGTCTCTTTTGTTCTAGGGATCAATTTGTGCAAAAATTCTTCAATACTCCCTCAGAATCACCAAACAAATTTTCTGTATATGCTGGCTCTATTATGTTTATGAAACTAGCATGAAACGGACACTGACAGAATTGAGATACCTAGTCTCACAAGCCATTCATAAAGAAAAAAAATATATACAAAGGGGGTGCAACCCAAGATGTTCCAAAAGAAATATTTCAAAAACACTACACTACATATTGAATATACACTTGGAAAATATCAATTTACTTAATGAATTAACTGAATCTCCTTATGTTGAAAGAAAGTGATGCACAGAATATAAAATAACTCTTGTTTACATTCTTGTAGGTATATGTCACTATTTCTCTTATTCTAACGTTATCATTAGCTGTATTAAGATAACCAGTTACGTGTTTGTTTAGGGTTTGAAATGTGTTCTAATAGGCCAAGATTTGTTACAACTTTATTCAATTGGATTAGTTGATATAAACATCAAAGAGACAAACAACATTTATTAACCTGAAGATCAAAACCAGAAATATCATGTTTATCTTCAAAGCTTTAAGATAGGCATATTAGTGTTAGATAACACAGCATACAATGATGTCTAGGGGAAATCAGATGTGAAACATGCAGGTCACACTTACTAAAACGAATGAGTTAAATAAATAGAAAAAGACTTTGATTTCTCTTCAACAAGTTCTCTAATACTAAACAATTTTTAGGGGCGACTTTTTCCATCATGGCCATGGTCTATCATGCTAACCCAATATGGGCTGATTTCCCCAATTTCACATTCTTTCCAAGGGTCGTGAACCCTCTAGGAAATCAGATTTCATCACAAATGTTTTCCTTGTCCTGCAAGAAGCTTCCTTAGCAAGAAATACCGCCAAGTCGAAAATTCACTGGTTTTACTTTTGAAAGTCAAGAGTTGTTTGCTAAAAGACAACTAACTATAGATTGATAAAAAAAAACATTCACAATGTAACAACCTAGATTAAAGTCACAGTTCATGCATAGGAATTCACACCATCTACTTAGGATCATTGAATGGGATATACAATTTTTAAATAGAAGAAGAATTAAAATAGAAGAAGTGTATTCCTGGCAGTCTTGATATAAAACGTGTATCTTTCAATCCAGACACTGGCAGATTTCTCCTCAGTAGGACAGAAGCCAAAACACCCACAAAAAAAAAATAAGTTTAAATTTAACACTTCTTATTCCAGGTCATCATCAGAACTCTAAGGGTCGTATTCCAGAACTCTACTCAATACTAAAGTCAGGACTTGAGTATTGCAGTGAGCACTGAAAATCATACTCAAGTCCTTGCCATTAGGCATACTCAAGTCCTTGCCATTAGGCTAGTATTTCCAGTGCTTGAAATCATACTCAAGTCTGCTGAAATCCTGACTTGAGCATTGAGTACAGTTCTGGAATACGACTCTCAGACTTTTAGTGAGCCAATATCTTAAGTATTTAAAAAAGAGAAATCATATTTCTACAGCCATACATGGAAAAGTGAACTTTGATATAAATCCTTTGAATATCCAACCACTACTTATGAGCTAAAAGATAATATTAATTATGATAACTACTTTAACAAAAGGCAGTGTTTTATTTAATGTTTACTGCTAATACATTATACTTTCAACTGAGTAGTACATAATTTACAAGACAATTTAAATCTTAATAATGAGTAGTAATACCTTATTTTCCAAATTTTATACCTATAGTAAAGCTGTTGAGTTATAACCAGGAATAGTAAATAAATGAAGGAACATTATTGTATGAAAATCAACAAAATAAATGAGTGTTGTTGTCTGTGCCAAAGACAATAACATAAAGTTGTCGAACGGGACTTTCGTGCCTGATTTATATTCTAGAGTTCTCTAATACTACTGGAAAGTGCTATTCTACTTGATTTTTTAATAAATTGGATTTATAATTAGGCCAATAATTATCTTATCTCTGCAAACCAGTCATTAAAAGTAATTACATAATGAGGTATCAGTTTTACTTAGCAGAGTCAAAATCATTAGAAACATCAAATTTATCAATAACTTATGCTTTTTATTTCAAATATGACTTCATGGCCCAACGGTTTGCACAGTAGGCTCATTAGAACCAATTAGGGAAATAAACTTTTCTAAATTGATTCTAGTCTGGGTGTTCAAATCAATCTGGTACTCATTGTACAGGGAACTCCTAGTTAAGACCAGGTAATTGGTGTTGCTGCCTAGTACACAAGATTTATTACAAATACTGCAATGAATTCACTTCATGTATATTTCTACAAAATTCGAATGTTAATTTCCTTGTCCCACGCACAAGCAATGGCTCAAGACATCAACATTAGACCTAAACACAAGTTCTTGCTTGATTTAAATCAATCCTTCAAGCATGAAATCCGAGCGTGATATGGTCCACGATAACTGTGCGAATTTAACTCAAAGTAACCCTATCAGCTTGACACTAATTACAAGTACTTGCTACAAATATTAACCAAAACACAGCAAGCGGACATCCGCGCGCTATAATACTCGAATTCAAACCAAATGTAACAACTACATTCGCCAAACAAACCTTATGTTCTACATGCAATAAATAAATAACGCCTAAAATAAACAACAACGTCACGAAATCTTACCTATAACTAAACACCAAACAATACAACGCCCTACAAATACCAATAATATAAATACTTAAGAAAAACCTATTATCTAAAAATAATGTAGATAAATACCACGCTTGACCATCAAAATGGAACGTGTTGTTTTTTGCGTTTGAACAACAAAGATTCAGCACCATTGAACACACACCTGGAAATATCGCAATGTCACGGCGAATCACGTCTTAACTTTAACACAATAATAGTCACGAAGAATATAACTTCATTTTGCAATACAATTCAACTTGTAGAAAGTGATATAACACAAACGCACTGATTTTATTCAAGCTCTTGTGGTCATAACACCACCATTACTCGATTCGATAAATCATCAACTGAACTCAGCTGACAGATACGGTGTTACCAGCGTAAACTTTACTAGTACTACCGGAAGCCTGTAAACAAACATAAAATATAATTAAATTCTCCACTTTTCGTCATAATTGTTAAATAAACATTTATACGTCGTTATCGACTAGTACAAAGCAATTAAATATTTTTTTTATTTTTTCCTTATTTCCATATTTATTCTATCATAAAACTTCAACTCATGACTTGTCAACAATCGAAATCTTCAGAGTAAAACCTACTAACAAACGGACGTCGTCGTCCGCGATAAAAAGTGTCCGAACCTATAGCGCGTCTGTCGCGCGTCACTGTACCCAGAGCGTTTGTCGCACGTCAATCCATAGATGAATATAGATACTAAAGTACGTATAAATGCGTCAGTCTTCAATTGTTCGACTGAAAGCGCGCTTGTGAATCAAGTAGTACTTGATACATATAATAAAAACTTATAAAATTTACTCACAACCTTTTCACTAACCAAATATATCGTGTTATCATAGTTGTCATTTAAAATTGTTATTTTGTACAGTTGTAGTAGTATTTAATTTATATTTAAATTTAATCTTAAATATCAATCACAAGAGCACTCAATATAATCACATAGCTAACTGTCCTTTTTCTACTCATTGAACGAGCAAAAAAAGGAAAGCGACCCATTAGATCAATTTCAAGAAGCTTATCTTTGTGTATGTATTATTTCTTGATCAATTTTAATTGATCGAACCACAAGCGATAGAAACAAAATAAGTATGGAGTCGCTTTGATTTTAGTCTTATTTTTTTAAATATTTTTTATTAAAAGCTAGCAATAACGAACAAAATATTGTTGTACTCATTGTAGTACGGCTTGGGATTACCTATCAGAAGTCCGAAAATACATTTGCCCGAAATAACATTTACTCGAAAATTTACATTTACTTTTTCAAAATCCCAAATGTATATTTTTAGGAATATTACAAAACTAACCGACGTTAACTTAAATTTTCTTTGAGATAAGCATTCAAAATTATCTGAAAGCATAACGGTTTTATTATAAATCGGGTTTCGGGATTACGGATATTTGAGATTATGTTCAGTTGGAATTTAAAAATTCGAAATGTCGTTACATACAACAAGCAGAAAGACGTAGTTTTTTTCACATTTATAATATTTGCATGTATGTCCGCCCAAATCCTTATTATCTCTTTAAATGAATTGGCACAAAATTCGACATAATAATATATCGCCCGTTTCGTGTTGTAATAATCTATATATGTCGATGTTTTAGAGATAACACATTGTTCTGGCAAACAAGCGATATACTAATTAATTCATTTTTCAGCAAAGGCTACTTTATCTATTCTTGTTTTTAAGTAATTTTCACTCGAAGTTAAATATGGTGCATTTTGTTAGGTTTCCAGTAGAAGCTGATTATGGAGTTTTTGGGCTCTTAAGTTGTTACAAGCAAAATTAAGCAGTACTGCAATAACGTTACAATTCCAATTAATTTTTTTTTTATATTTCATTGCATGTCACCACGTTCACATATAGGTAGGTTATTTTTGGAATTTTTTTCATGGTTTTAGTATTAGACCCGACCATTTCCGAGTCCATTTCGATACCTTCACTTTTGTATATTTTTTATTTTTGTATCTTAATTGAATTTGGTTTTTATTTCTTTTTTTATAAAATTCGGGAAGCATAATGATCAGAGATCGGAATAGGTAGAGTTTTTTTACCTAAACTTCGAAGAACATAGACAGAAAATGGAAACTGCTTTACGACAATATATTTTAGGTTCTGGACCTGTTCGGGATTCGGGAAATCACTTAAGAACATTGAAAATTGACGTGATTGGCAGGCACACTATATTTATCTTAACTTCGCGACGCACAGTGGGTCGGATCTGCGATATTGCGGGCGTCGGATTTTTTTTCACGATACCTCTCTTAAAAAAATGCGTATCGAGAGATCCTATTATCCTAATTAAATATTGTCATGTCACATTTTGTCATAAATCTAATAGTTTAGTAGGAAAAAATAAAATTTGTATTTTTTTGTATGGGATTATATTATTATATTATATTTCCCATCGTTACAAAGTCTTAGTCGATCCAGTCTTGGAATCACTACAGACGTATTATTAGACTTATCTTCTACAGATTTGCTAAACGTGCGCCTAAACCTGCCTATTTATTAAGGACAATAGGATCTTTCGATCGGCATTTTTTTAGAGAGGTATCGTGAATTCAATGTCCACAATATTGCAGATCCGATTCACTGTGCGTCGCAAAGTTAAGATAAATATAGTGTACCTGCCTGTCCCCAATTACGTCAATCTTTAATGTGCTTAAGTGATTTCCCAAATCCCGAACAGGTCCAGGACCTAAAAAATATTGTCGTAAGGCAGTCTTCATTTTCTGTCTATGTTCTTCGAAGTTTAGGTAAAAAAACTCTACCTATTCCGATCTTTGATAATGATAGTAAATAAATATGGCTGTTTAGAAAATAACAGAAAATGACCAAAAAATAACGTTGGCGTAGTGTTCATTGGAGATACCGATTTGTTGGTCGGTCAATGTTCACTGTATATTCTAGAGTGAGGCTGATACATACAGCTGGTTGTAATTTTTCAACCATTCACTGTTCTTCGCTGTTTCTTTGTACAGCGACAACGCTGTTTTTTAAAGTTCTACTAATTGCACAGCTAACAATTTGAACACTTCTTACTGTTATGTATCGACACCATCACTATTTAAAGCACCAATGACTCTGTCTCTATCAATGGTCGGAAAAAGGTGTTCCACATATTATAGATATAGGTACAAGGAATGACATGAAGTTGTTAAAACCACCTAATATTAATTAATTACAGTTTCGAGTTCCTGATATCGGGAAATGGTTTCACTGCATCGTAGGACAAAATTACTGACCTAGGAAGTCGAAATTGGATTTTAGAGTAATTCTATTGGTGACATGTAAAAAATACAGTAGATAACTGACCTTTTACCAAAGCAGAGAATAAAAAAGTAACGAGAATGGTCACTTTTCCAGAAATTTCGTATTTTAAAAGAGAAATATTTACACTAGGTTACTTTAATACTTTTTATTTTAAAAAACTGTGGAACGCTTAAACACTCGGCTATTTATCTTCTTAAATAGAATAAATAGAGGAGTTTCTTTCATCCGGAAATCGAAATAATTAATTAATTAATATTTGTTAGTTTTAATAACTCTACGTCGCATATTCTATACATCTACACACGTGAAACCACTGATCTCAATAATAGCAATATTACAAATGAATACTGTATTACTGTAAAACTTACCAACACGATAATAGGAAAATGGCAACACTTTGATCAATCCTACTGAAACTTTGTTGTTCCGGGTAGAAAATGAATTGTCAATGTTTATAATTTGTTGATGCACTCTTTAACTTCTAAACAAACAATTATTCTCCGGGCAACTGCACAAAATGTATGAAATAGATTATACAAACATAAATTTATTTTTGTAGTGTTAAATCGATAAATATCCTCAAAATATAAGGGCGGTAGCCGGTCAATCACCAGTACCAAATAGAGCGGGCTTTTTGATATTAAACCTTAAATATTGATCATTGTATTAAACTGATTGCATCCTTTTTGCAAATAAAAACGATTGAGTATTTGAAATGTTCATATAATATATTCAATAATGATCTTATGTATTCAATAAACAAAATAATATAATAAAAAACGTATTCAAAATTCAAATACTACGACTACAGCTGAGTAGACGAAATGCGCCCAAATTATTGGCAGCTTTCTCCTTGAATATTATTAAGCACATCGTTGGATAGGATTAATGATATTATACTTGGATAGGATAATTCCAGGCTTGTTTCCCAATTGGTCAATTAATCATAAATATTTGGCCCCGGTGAGTACCAATAAGTACTTAGTTGAAAACTGATGTTCGGGCAATGATCTCTTAAGATCGCTTTGTACAGCTATTTTTGGCTTAATAATTATTCCACAAGCTCAGCTGCTAAACCAGTTCTTTTGCTGCACTTTGGGGGTGAGACGAAGCCAACGTATCGGTGCAAGTGATGGAAGATGGTACATTTATACCTTATCAATAAGTCTATATCTGATAATATTATATTAATTAAAAGATGTTGTTCGCATGGATAACGAATGATCGAGTGAATATGACCGATTTTATGTACCTAATTTACAATAGCTAAAATAAGAAGTTACTCGTAGTGCTAATATCACTTTGTAAGCTAAAAGGGTATCCGGTACCCAAAGGAAAAGGCTCACCACGGAAGAAAGATTCTGTGATAATTTCTAATGATAACCAACCAAATCAACTAGACGGCGCTTATTTCACAGATTATTGTGGATACTCTTTAAGCTCTTTTATTTCGTTTAGAATTAACGCCCATATTATTATATTCGTAGTAAGCGTTAATGTTTAAATTAGTTTGTAACACACAGAAAATAATTTTACTAATGGTCAATCTTTGAATAATATTTCAAAGAAGATACTGAGAACTTGTATTTCATATTAGAAAAAAAAGAAAGAAAGAAAGAAACGGAAAGGAAATACATTTATTTGTTTACCACAATGACACCACAAAAGAAAAAAGAAAACGAAACAAAACAAAACATAATCAAAACATAGATAGAATTTTTTATTTTTTTGTTCATATATTTTTTACGGCTTTTCAAAGTGAAAGAATCAATTATTTAGTAGGTAAAATAAATTACACTTGAAAACGTCATTTTATAAGCTACTGCTTTGTTCAATAAGCTGTCTTCACTGGGAAGAAAGAACTCTAGGGATTGCTCTTTTCAAATAAATTTATATGGTACTGAGTACTTACACTTGACTTAAATGATTCTATTCTTTACTTTGAATCAAATTTGTGCAGAATCTAGACCCATGTCGTCTTTCTATACATTTAGTCTTCAATTTTGTAATTATGACGTTTGTAATTGCTTTTGATTTATTAAAAATGTTAAGTTTAAAAAATGTTAAAAAAGTTTAATTATAATAAAAATATGTTAACACCTACAAAATTAATATTAATTAAAAGTACATATAGAGGGGATATTCAAGAATATCCAAAAGAAAATTCACGTCATTATCTTTCAAAACTTGGAAGTTATAGATTTATGACACGAAAATGACTCAATCTCCCCATCTTCTCCCCATAGTGTGACGGCAGGCTAACACAAAAACATAATCAAGCCGAGCCTGCCGTAAAGGAAACACATTTATAATCGTGAAAATAGAGAGGGTAACAAATTTAAGATTGGCCCCGAGGGCAAAAATCAAACTCGGCACCGCTCTAGCGCCACTAACTTTGAGGGATGAGATAAAGAAAGAATTGTTCGCGTTTTGACGGAAAAACGGAAAGAAACGTGCTAGCAGTGAAAAATTTAATGGACGTAATAAGCGAATCTCGTATATGAAGAGATTCAGCACATATCACAGATCGGATCGGGAAGTGTTAATGATATTCTACACGAACATCTTCACGTGGACAGGCTAGTTCACGCTGGATAATATATCGTAAACGTACGATTATGAATGAATGACCCCTTTACGAGTCTATACAACCTCAAATGGCTTTAGTTGATTCCGTATAACAGTGAGAGTGTTGAAGCAATCACTTTGGAAAAATATACCTATGGTAAATTTCGAAATTTTACAAGAAAACCGCCGTATTCAATAGTATTTTACATATACCAATGATTTTTTTTTATATCAACTGAACTAAAATAGAACACGTATAGTATACGATATATATATTTTTTAAATGGTTTTAATTTCGTTTGCAAAAAAAAATAAATTCTGAAAATAAAGCCAGCGTCCCTGTCGCTCGCCCTTGACCCAAGCAAAATGAACCTTATTAGTACGGAAAAAAAATTGAATTCGAGCGTAGTAATCGACTCTTACAAAGGTTTTTTTACCTGTTTGCAATCATTTTAAATCTCGTTTCTAAATAAATGAATGATAGCTATACAGGTTTATTTTGTAATTCACGCTAAATAGAACTTCAAACGATATTTCTAAACGTAGAAAATAATATGAGCCTTCGAAATTACATTCCAATTTTTCGGGAATTATTATATTATTAGAAGACGTGCTCTTGACCCTGTACCTCACAATCTCGCGATTGATATTAGTAGCCATCGCGAGCCCGAGATCGTGCTGGCACTTGCGAGCTCGCGCGAAAAATCGTGTTTCTGTGTTCTCCATCCGACATCCGTCTGAAACAATTACTGTCAAATAAGCAATACTCGACCACATTAAAAGACGCATGATGCGAATGAAGTTTCATACTTGATTTTGAATCTTGAGCTTTTGATTTGGTCGAGTAACTCGAGTATTACTTATTTGACAGTAATTGTTTCAGATGGATGTCTGACGGAGAACGGGAGTAGACACCCAGAGTATAGTACTCTACATAGGCAGCAACACAGTTCAATATCACATCAACAAAATCCAGACCATTTCCACCGAAGATGCACTAGGAGAGAATTGAAATTTTGCCATACAAATTTTAACAAAGCGCCTCGCACGTGGCGCACCTTTAGGCCTTCGAACAACGTATGAAGTACGGGCGACTATCGTTGCGGACGCATTATCGTATATCGTGGTTGAGGTCACGTTTTTCCTTTACTTGAGAATTTAATGAGAAACTTCTCATTAGTAGTTAGTAATTAGTTATTTAAAGTCTGTCGCACATAATATTAAAATAAAAAATAAGGAAATACTTTAATAAAAACAAATTTTCTGGTAAAATAATTAATTTTGTTTTAAAAAATAAAGAAGCGTTTAATAATGTGTAAAAGTTTCGAAAATTCCATGAATGCAACATTAAAATAACAAATAAATTATTATAATCTTAACAATTCAGTTATAAAAAAAACTTAGTTTATATGTTTATAGAGGACTTAATTACTGTATGTTTATGTGTTTGACACTGTCTGTAGGTACATATGGTAGCATGAATATAATGGACACAAGGAAAAATTATGTTTAAATAAATAAATACATATTTTTATTGGCAATGTATTAAAATCTCGTAAATATTTCATTTATGTAGGCAGGTACTTCAAAATACTAGGTCCTTGTACCTAAGGAATCCAGTTCTTTATCTTTAATAATGCATTTATTTCTGTATTAACAAAGCGGTTCTGGTAAGGTAGGAGCATTTAAAAATGTATTTTCCACTATAGATAATAAGTTTCACTATTGAAGGTATTTCCTTAATGTACAATAGATTTAATGGAATAATACATTATACTTATTCTTATTGTTCAAACAATTTCTTATCTTAAAGGTACAATTTTGTGCCCACAAATAACTTTCAACAACCATTACTACACTAGTACCTATGTATGTTATCAATATGAAAACCTTGCATGAGATATCACTTTTTTATACTTTGATTAATAATACTATCACAAAAGTTGTGATAATTTTAAAAAGTGGTTCACAAAGTATTATAAATATGTATATAGGAATAAGATTTAATCTTTCAAGTAATATTTTTATAAAGTACAATAAAAAAATAGACATCATAAAATGCTGTTAGTATAATGCAATGACATATTAAAGTGACGTTAGAACTGAACGTCACAATGAATGTAGATTATTCAAGGTGAAGTCAGATCAGCTTGACCTCTGCATTAATCACTGAAACCCAACAAACTTTTTGCTACCTCTGTACTGATAATATTTTACACGTGATTATCACAGCTTATTCTGTAAATATAATAAGGCACCTGACTTAAGCATCTACAGCAAGTAGGTCATGTATGTGATACATAGCATTTGTAATGCCACTAACATCTACAAATAAGTTTGTAACGTAAATAAACATAGATTTCACGAGCAGTTTGACTTTAAAATGACCTCGACAAGTACATTGTACCTAAGTAACATGTATAAAAAGTGGAATGTAGCACCTAAAAACAATGTTTTAAACCTTACAGTAAGACTTATTATGCACAATTATTTAAAAAAAATTGTTACATATATATAAATATCATAAGCAGTAAAGAACCCATCACCAAAGTGGAACTTAATAATTTTCTGTATTGTCATTAAAGTGCAGGCTTTTGCCACTTGTAGGAACCAGAGTATTTAAAATTGTATTCGGCAAGTTTACTATCAGCCTCAGGTGGTCCACGAGCTCCATATACATAAGAGACGGGCTTGATTTGTTGCTTCTCCAATTGTTTCAAAGCTGGAGTAAATATACGCCAAGCTTCCTTCAATTCATCATTGCGTACAAAATGCATTTGTGTGCCTGTAAACACATCCAAAATCAATCTTTCATATGCATCAGGCACATCGGCTTCTCTGTATCTTAAGCTGTAAGTGAGGTCTAGCTCTGTTTCCACAAGATCAAATTTCATTCCAGGGGACTTGCTCATTAGTTTCAAATATAAAGCTTCTCCTGGTTGTACTCTGATAACTAGCTCATTTCTTTTTGCTTGGCCATCAAAAATATCCCCAGGAACATCCTTGTACTGCAACCTGACTTCAGCTTTTCTCTCGTTAAGGGCTTTGCCACATCGAAGAATAAAAGGGACACCTTCCCATCGAGCATTGTTTATCCAGAGAGCTGCTAAGGCATATGTTGGGGTGACAGAACCTTTTGGTACAGTTGGGTCATCAAGATAGCCCTGCGTCTCTTCACCTTGACCATTAGGATTTCCTATGTATTGTCCTACCAATAGATCATCAAGCTTTATGGGATCAATGTGCCTAAGCACCTTTACTTTTTCATCTCTGATATCGTTTGGGTTCAATGTTACAGGCTTCTCCATAGCAACAAGGGACAAAATTTGCAAAAGATGATTTTGCATCACATCTCGTACAATTCCAAAGTTGTCAAAGTAGCCACCTCTTCCTTCAGTACCAAAAGGTTCTTTAAAGGAGATAAGAACTGAAGCAATGTTTTCTCTATTCCATGATGGACTGAAAATTTGATTTGCAAATCTTATTGTCATGAGATTCTGTACCATCTCCTTGCCAAGGTAGTGATCTATGCGGTAAATTTGTTCTTCCTTGAATAATCCAGCTAGATGGTTGCTCAATTTAGCAGAGCTTTCATCATCTCGACCAAAAGGTTTTTCAATAATTACACGAGTGAACCCTTTTATAGAAATGCAGGCATTCCTGATGTTCACTGTTACATCCTCAAACACAGTGGGTGGAACAGCTAAATAAAATATTCTGTTAGCTACAGGACCCTTTTCGTATTTAGAAAGTTGCTGATTAAGCAATTCATAATCAACTCTTTTGTCATATGACCCAGCAACATAATCATTGGCCTCCCAAAATTTTGCAAACTTTTCTTCCTCACCTGGGCGAACTTTTATGTATTTTTTGCTCTTCTCTCTTACGTCTGCTATCGTTTGTTTAGTGCGTGCATAACCAACAAATCTAGTATTTTTTGGTAACAAATTGTCACGGTATAAGTACCAAATGGTTGGGTAAATCTTTTTCTTTGCAAGATCCCCAGAAGCGCCCAGAAGTGTAAAAGTATGAGGATACTGGAAATCAGTTATATTTTCCATGTTAAAAATTTACCGCGTTTGAAAAACTTATTAACTGATAAACTACACTTATTTATACTTATCGCAGCACAAATGTACACTTCGTCTATCACTTACAAATGGTTTACTTTAAATGGGTGCTAAACGAGAATACTAAACTATTTTAGAATGTAATTGCTGCCGCACAAGAAACTGTAAAGACAAACCGAATTTTGTTCTCATTGATCGAATTTATACATAGTGATAATTTTAATTCCTGGCTTGTGATTGGTCTAACTTATAAGTTTGTGCTGTTCTATTAGTGAATTATATTGGAATAATTCGTTCAAAAACAACAAACTGATTGCCAGCAAATTGATGTTGACGTTAGTGACATTCCTTTGATATTGAAACTTGTTTCGTTGATTAAAAAAAAATGAACCATCAAAATCATTTCATAGTCATCACGTTACGGTCATTTTATTTTCCTTAGGAACTTTATGGCTCGCTTTCCCAAACACTATTGAAGTAAATGCTATGGGCTTTCATAATGGATTTCAAACAGGAAAAGTATTATATACAACGTCTCTTTCCCTACATTTGTAAAATCACTTTTCTATTCAAAACCACTTTTCAACATTTCATCCTGGACAAAATTATTACCTCTCGGAAGGAACCGTAACAAATAATAAAGTATACATTGTATTAACTTTAGAAACTTGGTAGTTTAGTTAAACGAATATTTGCATTGAAAAGAATTTCTCCAAAAAAATACTTTTGACTAACATGTGCGTGGATAAAGTTTTTGAACGAAATCTCATCGTGACGTGACGCTTGTTTTATGTCACTGGTGTACGGAAATTCCTATTTTTTTGAAGTAAAATTAGGTTTTTTAGCAATAAATTTTGTTTATTTTAAAACAGTTTTAGTGTTTTTATGTGGTATATCAAGTGTATTTCACAGTCGTTGGAAATAAAGACCTGTGTTCATGAAGAGGGTGTAAATTCATGTATAGGTATATTTAGTTCATCGACCTTGTTACTGACAGGTTCATCGTTGAGACTGCTAATATATGAAAGTGGTACTTTAGACGATAAACATATTACTGCGGAGGATGGAGCCCTCGAGAGAACCAGGTACGTAAGTGGTAAATTGGTTTGGTATCGAATTGATGCAACATTGAATGACCTTTTTGGTTATGTCAGAAGTGTAGGTACAGTACAAGAGATGTCATCTTGATACCTTGATGTACGTAGCGAGGACGATTCTCGCGTTAACGTAAACAAATTGTATTGTCTTGGGCTTCGATGAGTTGAAGCCATGTTTATTAATAATTGTTTAATTGAACATAGTATAACGACGCTAAATACACATCGTGTAGCGATAACACGTGGAGTGTATCGTTAGTTTTTGTTTAAGCTGTTAGTGGAAGCGTCATTTTACAGGTTTCAATAGCTTTTGAATACTTAATGATCAGACAATTATTGAATTGTAAATTGGAGTAAATGCCACATTGTTAGAGCTTTCTGATATTCTCTAGATAGAATTTTGTACTGCTTGCGTTATATCTTATCAACAAATCAGTATCTAATGTGTTAGTGACAATATAATCCTACATGCTTCGGGAAGTTTAGATACTTATTACGTGATCAGACAGATACTCTAGCCAAAACAAGGAAATTGTGTAAATAGTTCATTCGTTACAATTTAATTAAAACACAGTAGTTTAAACAGCTCTTCTTTTATTAACTTATTCATTTATTAACTTATTAGATAATAACACACCCACTCATACCTATTGTGCCCGTATTGTGGTACTGGGCAGAGGTCTCCCCCAAAACCCTCCACTGCCCCCTATCTTTGGTGACTTTACTTATAAAAACTACAATATTATATCACCACATATCATACATACTAGTGCACTGTTTATATTTTTAATAAAATATTAGAACATGTAGACAAATATAATACATTTGTCTTTTGTTTTTTGCATGATCTAATATTTTATTAAATTTTAGATTTTTATGTCATTCACAAACACAATACAAATACAAAATTTGTTTTTTTTATTTTTTTTAAGTATATTAATAGGATTTATTACCTTTACCAAATAGAAAGTATAAAGTTGGTAACACACCTTGTAATTATTCTTTGCAAATGAATCAATTGTCAATAGTAATCAAAAACAATGTTAATACAGTACTATACTTGCTGCCTTATCTTTAATAATGATACAGGTTTTATGTATATTATGGTAATTTAACCTTTTTTGACAGGTGTTGAAGTAAAAAAAAAAAAATAGTAGCACATAAAAATTGCGTAATGAAAGTGCCTAATTGAAAAACTTACATTTAGATTATAATTATGTGCCAGCTAAGGCAAGTACATACATAAGGGTTATAAGATTATATGTTTGAATGGTATTTGTTTGTATAGTTGAACATAAGGTGAAATGAAATTCCACATTAATTCCTCATTAAATGAAATTCCACACATTCCCTGTACATGCATCATATGTGGTGCATTTCGAGGTCCAAACAATATATGAATGCATTACATATGAGGCATGGCCCTTTATAAATTTAAGTGTTAAACAAAATTTGCATGTGTAAGCTATATCATCTTTATTTACTTACATGTATGGACCACAATATTTGTGACAATTAGCATGTGGTACCGGATGACTTTTAAACCAATATTGCCAGATTATCACTGTCAAAATAGAACCCTTAAAATAATAATTATTTTTTTACTACAAATTAGAAAAGTCTAATTATTAATTAGTTTTGGATTGCATATATCGCACATGATAATAAAAACAAAAAGACAATCAAACAATGTCAAGAAACCCAACAATCAAAAATTAAAAAGCTGGGTAAACACAACTAAATTAATTATACATGTGACACCAAGTAAACAACTCATATATTCGCACTTGGGAAAATTGAGAAAAAGGGAAGGGGGCTTATAAAAATGATTTTACCAGTCCCAACAATGTTGAGAGTGTGCGTTATTATTTGACAAGAGTTTTAAATGAATACTATTATGTACATGTGTTTTGTCTTTTTTTCTCTATGTAATTAGACAACATAATATCAATAACAAATTAACATTATCTTTAGTTACACAAAAACCTTTGAAATCCCTTTTAATCCTTTTCAATTTCTTATAATAAAAAACATGACTGACCATACACCCGATGCTTATTTATAAATCTTTCTTTCTTAACATTACCTTACCTTTTTTGCCCTGGAAACGTTTTTCGTGGATGATAATTATTACATTTCGTCAAAGAGTCCACTATAATAATTTGACACTAAAATATAGATCTATCTATACCTCTAAGTATAATTCAATTCACTGTAGTACAAATTTGCACTCAAATCATCTAGCAAATCTATCTAGATGGCGCTACGTGCTTAGTTTTTCTGTTTTTCGCTAGAGGGCGGTCACGTTGTGGCATGCTACATAATACATCATTATATTATGTACACACGCCAGCACATCAAGCTACACATTGACGTATCTTATTCCTTTGCACTGGAGGTGATTTTCGTACAAAAATGTGTAGTCTGATGTGCCGTTGTCCGTACATACGGTTTTTTGTTATTCAATAACTATGCAAAAATTTTTCAGGGCACACATTCCCAATACATCATAGACTTGTGTAGATATCTTTAGTTAACTTGGATAGTCTAGTATACACAAGCTATATTGTAGCCTAGTTGTACAACTTACGCGTATAGCACGTTAAACTTCAAACTTTAAAGGAATCTTATATATTTAAATCTTTACCATTGGATGAAATACACAATTAACTTTTCTATTATAATCGTCTATAAAATAAGCAAACAGTATCAAACTTCGCATTTCGATATATAAATATCAACGTGAAGTGATTATTAATCTTAACACTGATGGAAAAAAAAATCTCATTAAGGAGAAATATTATAATGACTCAGGCAACCATTCTCTTTCTACGATTGTTGAAAGCGCCAACATTATTACAAGTTTTAAAAGTATATTCAATTCAACGAATTTTGCAAAGAAGTGAGAGCATGCGAAGGTTGAGCGTTGGACAGTGGGTATAACGCACATGGCATGGTGCGCTTTTGAAGGTCTAGCACGTGTGATGCGGCGCGCAGGCTGTGGCACCGCGGGCGGGGTGCAGGGCGAGGGGTGAGCTGTCGTGTGCAGTGGACCACTCGACGTCGCACAAGGTCAAGGAGAATGATTAACAACGAAAATACAGCAAAACAAACGGTGGCGGCGCGGGGTATGAGCGGGGACGCGGTGCGGCAGTCAGAACACCGACGCCGCCCGCACCGGCCGTGAGTCCGGCGCTGCTCGCGACGCGCTGAAAATCGATGCACGATCCGCAAACGGCATCCAACACTCATACGTAATTGCCACCAGTAACCCTTGATGAGTGACGTCACGGCGGTCCCATGCGACCACCTCTCGTGATAGTGTTAATATGCGATCTGCCATTGGGTATAGGGTTGTTTTGCGGTTTGATTCGCAACTTAATAAACCCGAGCGCCGTTAGGTGTTAAGATTAATTTCGTCTGATAGTTACAAGTCTCGTGTAACTTTACGGTTGTCCAAAGTTTCAAGACTTGACCGTTAAATACTTAAGAATAATAAACTAGTTACTTGCAATTGCAAGTAATAGTTTATTATTTAATAAATTTATTAAAAACACAGATAGTGTTGATGTTTGTTGACACACCAATTACATGTAATATTAGTAGAAGCAACGTTTGTATACTGATGTGCCATGAACATTCTCAGTTTTAGTTCAAGAAGGCTCTAGAGTTTATACAGATGATTATTAATAAGAATGGAGTTTGTCTTTAAATTCACGATAAACTATGTCGAACACCCTCCAGTTGAGCCAAACATTTTCTGCAACTTCTGTATCGAATTGATAACAATTGTTAACGTTTAAACATCGAAGGATTAACAATAGCGAATTGTAAGATTACCAAACACTTTTATAAAAGTTGGTTTGTAGAGGAATGTCTCTTCGACCTGCAATGATAATAGTCATAAATCAAAGCCATTATACATGTTTTTTTGTTTGTATGTACATAATTTGCAGTATTTTTATGCACTATGTCTTTATCAGACGCAAGTCATAAAGAGCGTTGCAAGGTTGCAAGTGTATTGACTTTAGTGTTTTGAATTTATGTTTATCTCGTTGCTCTTTCGTCTAGTTGTGGCTGCATTTCCATTAAATTCCGCTTTTTGGTTGGAGATAACATAGATATTTCCTCTTTTGATAGGTTGACGTCAGGGTGATGTAACCGGCAGATGAGAGCGTGCCAAAGCGATGGACTGGTACCTCGTCCGTTTCATGATATCCATAATGTTGTTTTATCTCGCTAAGCAGTTTCATTGTCCAAACATCTAAAATAATATTTTCAACTACACGAGCGATCATAGCCGTTGCCATTTTATTTTACCATGAAGTTCCAGGGACAAATTGCGAAAATAGATCTACATTCATAACCCATGAAGATTATTTTGTGTTCTATATTGCGACAGAAAATGTCATGTGTACCAATATTTTCCTATAATAATTGTTAATGTTAGTCGTCAGTAAATTGAAGTGGGTAGTGTTTTTGATGGAACTCGGGTCTATGGGACAGAACAAAAAAATGTTTTATACTATTATTGTCTACGCTTTTATCAATCTTTGTCAATTTTGATGATTTGTTGCCCATGAATTAAATTGATTTTTATTGAATCATATCACGTCTTGTTTCATAAGGACTTAGGTTCGTCCATTTGTTGGTACGTCGCATTACGTTTAATATTTTATAGAGCGGTTATCCAAGACGATTGTATCATTGTCAAGGCCTTCTAGTTTATTAGAATTCATTGCCGCCCTCATGCTAACTTACATTTGGAATACTAATGGCTCACTTTAGTTTTTGTTAATGTGTGTTTGTTTTATATTATTCAGAATTCGTAGAACCTGGTCATTAGGATGCTGTTTCGTCTGAGGTCATGTTTGATTCGTTATTTATCTAATTTTGGATCGTTTGGCTGCAGACAGAATCAAACCACCAGGAATATTTAATAAGAAAGAAGGAATGTGACCATACACCGTCAGGTGTACCATGCACCTTTTAAAATTCACCGTCCAAGAGCTTGAAGGTGGACTTGTCTTTTTAAAATTGTTTTGTATTTCAGTTACTTCGATGTATCGAAAGAATTCATTTGTCCCCATTGCCTCGTTCGCTGATGGCGTGGTATTAATTCATTTTTTTTCACAAACACTATGTTTCGCACATCGTGCTGTTAGCAATTTATTTATTTTCGTCATACTCAATCTGTGTTCGTCTGATTTCTAGAGAAATTAACATCCAGATAATGTTTGCAACTTAAGCTGCGAATAAAATAATGTATACCCATATCAATTAGTGAAAGCACTACATTGAAATGGAATTTACATTGAGAGAGATCTCAGAATTGCTATTAACGAGAAAGAGGCAAACAAGAATCGTTTTTAAGTCTGACCATTATTGTTACATATGTAGCTATTATCGGTATCAGGTGACTACAGAAATCCTTTTACATATTCCTTACATCAGTGAAACGTAGTTAAAAATGTAATATATGTGACGTGTACTATTTATTTGTTCGTGCTTGTGCTATTCGTGAGTTTGTGCGGCCGGCTCTCGGCGTCACGCCGCGGAAAGTGTTGCTCGCTTGGTCACGGCCAAGGTCTTGCGTTGTACGTTGCGCTCATCGTTATGTAACCGTTTGTTGTATAAACGATAAAACAATTGCGGTCTCATTCCCAATACTCAAACTACATTATTCTCTCATTGACTGACCATTTCGTAGTTTTGAGCACCGTAAACAAACTTCCTTTGTGAGGCGCCAAATGCCAATGCTCTTCGTCAATATTTTGAATTCCAAAACAGTTTTTGTGAGGCATAACCTTAAAAATTAAAAAGAAACGTGTGTTTAAAAAAATGTTTGATGACTATCCAATACTCCGTAAAAATATGCCCGAACAATAATAGGTCGTTATACCAAATTGCGTGCCCCTGGATTGCAATGTGTTTACAATTTACGTCATGTCTATTATAAACGCGAGGCTAATTACTAATCGGTCAGATTTTTTGGTAGCAGTTATGATTTGGGTTATTGAGTATTGTCTATTATATAGTATTATATAATTTATTATATATATAGTATTGGGTGTTATTGTCGTCTATATTTTAATTATTGACGTGTTTTAAGATTTTCATTGTAACGATTTGAGCTATCTATGATCTACCAACTAAAATAACCTGTCTGCCATTTTCTGGAATGGCATTGTTTAGCATCAGTTCCGGTTGCACTCCCCGCGCGTCTCCGATTGGCGTAGAGTCGAGTGGCCAGCTAGAATCGCTGCGATCTCGGGCAGCATGCAAACAAAAAACACCTGTGTAGTCGTCGGCGAATCGTCAAGGTCGCAGGCCCCCACGGCGCGCGTCTCCGCGTTCCGTTTACCCACATCTCGCGGCGAGTGCACGCGGCGCGCCACCGCCCCCGCGCCTTTGACTCACCATGCTCGCAGTCCGTTGCCACTCCCCACACACCCGCTACTCGGTCAGGTCAAGTCTTAGACAATCATTTGACTTTGGTCATGTGTGCTAATCACGCCACTTTCTCTCACACTTATAACCCACGTCCGGTTGCCCCATTTTCCATTTTGTTTTCCTGTCTGGTCTCATCATTTAGTAGCAGTAGAGCATCTTATGAGCATTACTGCGTTCCGGTTTTGAAGAGTAAGTAAGGGTGCGGTTGAAATTACGGGCACATGGGACTTTTCAATATATGTCTCAGAGTGATGGGCAGTGCTCCTCAGATCTTTGCGATTTAAAGCTGAGTGGCACAGCAACTGTTATAGACAGGCATGGCACTTACCATCAGGCGCACGACTTGTTCGTCCCATCACTTAGTACTTATCATTAAAAACAAAATCAGAACTACCGAACCCAATAAACATATTTTAGAGCAGATAGGTTACCTATATTTAAAGCTCATTGTTTCCTTCACTTCTTTGATCAATTTTCTTTACCATTTTAAAATTTCCCATTATATGAAAATGAAAGTGTTGGCTTAGTGCCGTGGGTATTGCGCGCGAGTCACTATTGTCAATGTTAATTGTGGCTGGCGGGCGCGTCAAGTCAAGGTCGGCGCGGATCGATACGAGCGAGAGTGGGGTGGTCGCAGGCGGGTGCGGACGTGTCGCTGCAACTCCACATGCAACTATGCACTGCGTGCACAGATGAAAGTGCAGGAAAGTGGGGACATTCCTCGATAGCGCTGCCAACAGCTTTACGCTCACTGATCTAGTTTTTGCAACTATCCATTATGATGCAGAAAAAAGTGAACTACATCTTCACGTCTGAAGCGATTAATCGTCTGACTTACACTAACGAATACTATATTTTGATTGACTGCCATAAAAAATAATTTATGCATGTCAATTTATACGCATAATGCAAAGATTGACATGCAACATTTGACAACAAGGCTGTAGTACGGAACGTCGCTTGGTTATTGTTGGAGTGATTCTTTTATACATTCCAACGTTTTAATGACTTATTCCATTCGTTTTGTGTGAAGCGAATGAATAAAGTTTGTTGCATTGATGATGACGTGTTTTCTTTCAATAGGGGAAAATGTGTATTGGTTTGTTACTTACAAGGTATTAAATATAGGTATATAAAGCTGCCAACAAGTAATGTAATGTGATGTCGGTCATGTAATTTGACGGTAAAAGAAATTAGCTTCCTGAGCGAAAGGGGCCATCAATTTCATAGAGTACTGGTTGTCAAGGAGTCTGCTTGATTGACAGTTGGGGTAATGAAATCCCTTGATATACGCTATAGGTGCCACTCTATATAAAGCGTAAAAGGGTATGGATTCGCGCCTGGATGGTTTCCTTTGAATTGGGCGTGAATAATATCCATCGCCCACACGCCGTAAACGAGACGATTCTTTGTACAGATTTAATAGCTTTCTGTTTATGTACATTTCTTTCATTATCTTTTGTTGTTGATGAAATACTATAGGCGCTACGTAAATAACGTGCTGGGGAGAGTTTCTTGACGTTTTAGTCCCTGGAATGAATCAATACTGAACTTAAATATTGACAACAGCAGATATGGTTCTAATGTCTTAATATTTTTTTAAATATTTTTGATGGTCATGAAAAATGTTTATAAGTAATTAAGTATAACAAATTGTTTTAAATTTGATTGTTGTCAAATCGCTGGTCCAAAATGACCTGCTTATGATAAGTTCATCGTTGAAGATCAAGCAAAGTTCGATCTGTGCTCAGAATACCGTTGTTACAAAGCCGAATTCGTTCTGTAACAAAAACTTGTGTTTACCGGCACGGTTGAAACAGCAGACGCAGTGCAAGCCCCATATGGACACATGAATATAAACAGTACATGCAACCCAAGGTCGTGTGTCCTGGCATATAAATAAACGTTAGCTTTGTTTTTGTGCAATGCCATTCTGAATTAATAGCTACCGAGTGCCAAATATTCGTCGGCAAATCTCTCTAAAAAGCCATTCAGAACATCAAAAGTGAATATTCAAAACGTTGCTAACTCTAATCTTTCAATACGTATACAAAAAATTGAGCAATCAAGGTCTCTTTAACAGACAGATTCCTAAAAAAAACCTTGTGAAATCGCTTAAAATTGCTACTGGACTCAGTCTGATCACTTTGTGGAAAAGGGCGATGACAGAAACAGTAATTTTGTTGTTTTTCAATACCTACGTACTTTCTTCAAGTTTCCAAATGTCTTCGTGCTAAAGTACTGCATTAAAAAACCATAATTCCTTTATAGCCTTTTGTACCCCTTCCAGTTCTCCTATTACCGTTTCTACTGTAGGTGTAAAAACTCTCTTCATCCCATTTCACAGTATACAATTAAACATTCGTCCGGCACAATTATTCTAGTGACAAGAGCACTTAACGCCGTATTCTATTATCTGTTGGACAAGTTTATCCACCTTGAAACAAAACATATCCCTTTATTTTTCAAAATGTTTAGATAGGATAATAATTCGTACGTAAGCGTAGTTTAAATTTACTAGACGGAACGAATTGGGTATACTTAAGTATTTGAATTGCGCGGGATTCTACCGAGTGACATAGCATAAAATTTTATATAGTAGAGGCTAGCGCGAGGAGTGCGGTCCATGAGTGACGTAAAACTTAATTACAGAAACGCGCCGTAGCCACGGTTACGAAGGCCAATAGCTAACATAACAAGCACAATTATTTTGATTATTCTTATTTTAACACTTAGCTACAAAATATTTTATGTTATCTAACTTGTTTAATTCCGTAGCATTTGCACCTTAACGGCAAAAATTGCGACTTTAGCTTCTCGTTTTCCAAAATAAAATAAGTTTTATTCATGCATGGTTATTGGTTGTATGCGGACCTTGAGCGCGCTTGATAAGACCTTCACGCCGGTAACCGCGCGGAAGTAATCTGGTACCTATGTTTTTTTGTCAATTTCGAGCTCGTTGAGTTTTAACACGCATTAGTCACCAGCTAAGCATCGGTGTGGGGCTGTCAGCGCATTGTTGACGCGCTGCAAGCGATATCGCGGCGAGTGCAATAACAGCCGCTATCACAATGTCACAGCGACGCCGATGTCTGTATTGCCCCCGGCCCTGACGCTTTGTGTGCGTGCAGTATCGCTGGAACTCGGTTGGTTCTTCTCGTCTCGATTCATTAACGCGCTTAGCTTGTCAATATACAAAATCTTATGTGGGCGCAAATTGATCGTGATTGTGAGGATCGTATCGGGTCCGTCTGGTTGACGTGTGAATTTGTGCAGTGATCGCGAACACCGCTTCAGTGCAGTGCGTGCCGAGTGATGTGAGGTTATTAGTGTATTATGGCCATGTCGAGCGTGGCGAAAAAAGACAAGCCTACGATGTCGGTGACGGCGCTGATTAACTGGGCGCGGCCGGCGCCGCCGGGTCCGCAGCAGCCGCCGCCCGCGGCGCCTGCGCCCACCACCGACCTGCGGCAGTTGCAACCGACACCTACTCCCTATAACATGCCCACGGTTGATTGTTCCCTGGACATGCAATGTAAATATTGATGAAAACTCTTTAAACCAATTCCTCGTTGCTTCCTATTACATTGAAAATCAATTTGCAACAACGAAATGAGTACGCTAACAAGGGTGGAATAAAACTTGAAATCGACAAAACAATAAGGGGCACGTGATTCTAAATATGTACTTCAAAGTTTGACTATTAATTCAACTTCCAGTCGTTGTTCTTACTAGGTATTGGTTGGAAAACAACAACAAGTATGGTACCTACTTATAATTTCGCTCTGTTTGCCGGGCGTGTGGAATAAACCTGATTACTTTCAATAATGTTTTCATTACATTAATTCTAATGGCGACATCACAGTGTACACACGATAAACGTCGCCTGAGTTGCCAAAAATAACAAGCAAGTTCATTTTAATGCAGTAAGCACTCATCACTCACACAGGATCGACTTTTTGTCTACCTTAGCTACTCATCGTATAATTTTATGTTGATTATAAAGTACGGTAGAATAAATACGATAATTATAGAGCTTGCGAGAATGATTTCGTCGATTTTTGTTAATTAACTAGACTTAACAATAATCGCGTTTGATAATTACTTGCTTAACTCCTATTAGGAGAATGAAAATTAATGTGACAAATGCTTTCAGAGCACTTTGACTTGATTATAAAGTAAAACGAGTTATTTGCAATGAAAATTACTCATTGGGCATTTAGTGTTACGAAATAGATTATACTATATTTACAGACACAAGTATATGGCTCAATCAAAATAATTCAATTTAGAATTTAAATTTGCTTATAAATAGTAATGTGCCACATAATCACACCAATAATGTGGTTACAACTATAAGCACGAGAGCTACGAGATTTGCTCGGGGCATTGTTTTTTTAATTTTTTATAATACCAAGTGACGGGACGAACAGGTCGTGCGCCTGGTGGTAAGCAACACCTCTATCCATAACTGTTGCACTGCCACTTAGAGCTTTAAATCGCAAAGATCTGGGCAACGAGGAAAGGGGCACTGCCGCTGCGCCCGTCACCCTGAGACATAAGTTATCAAGTCTCATGTGCTTGTAATTTCACCAGCACCCTTACTTTGCCAAACTGGAATGCAGTAATGTTCACATTACTGCTTGGCGGCAGAAATAGTTAAAGGTGGCAGTACTTCCCAGGACGAATTCTTTCACAGGAGCTCTACTGCTACCAGAACACTATTGTTCTGTGACCAAATGACCTAAATGGTCCTATGACCAAAATCAACTTGGAAAAGTTGGTCTCCATATTTGGTCCGGGAATTCTCCTCATCACGCTCCCGAGTACTGACCGATGATGGACCATCGAATTTGTCAAATAATCGTCAATTTATTTCAATAAATGAATGATATGGTGTAACGGGTTGCTATCTGCCACTGGAAGTCGTGTCGCCTTTTTTGCGCTATTTCATAATCAAAATATCAGTTGTTTATTAAGGATTTTTTTTTTAACGCACACACTCATAGCCCCGCACTAAGGAAACAGTATCGCGGTTGCCTTGGACACATACATAGACAACCACAAATAACACCCAAACTCACGAGATAAATAATTGTAAGCCACACACATATTTCTCCCAGCCTGGGAATGGAACCAAGAACCTCTGCATGGCAGTCCAGCATAGTAACCGTTCAACCACGGAGGCAGTTAATAAAACCTATAAAAGTGACATGAAAAATATGAAACCAATTACATAAGTCTGTAGTGGTTGGTTTCATATTTTTTTGTGTTTACCCAATATGTTTTTTTATAATATTACTTACTGGTGCCTGTGGTATTAGGAAATAAACTATCCAATTTCCTTTTTTTAATCAAAAGATGTATTTTTTTACATAAAAAGTTTACCTCTTAACTGTTTCCACTGTCGGCACTGAAAATGACCTTTTCTATATTGGGTCTGGTCTGAGTGTTCTGGGGGTCTACTTCCATTCTCCGTCTCACATCTGTCCGACACAATTACTGTCAAATAAGTTATACTCGATGAGATTAAAGACAATGTTAATTATGAAGCTTCACTCGCATCATGCGCCTTTTAATTTGGCCGAGTATTACTTATTTCTCAGTAATTGTTTCGGAGAGATGTGAACCAGAGAACGGACGTAGACCGCCGGATTAGTTAGTGCTCTGGAGCAAAATCCGTTGCTCTGGCACCCATAGTACAAGGAATTCTCTAGTTTGAGACAATTGGTGTGTCTAGCACATTATTATTATCAAAATAAAAAAAAATCCAAATCGTAAGAAAATACTTGATAGAGAATAATAATATATATAAAAGATCTGTTACAAAATTTGACGATCTCTGTGGTCGAGTGGTTTGCAAACCAGTATTCATGGTGGTAGTACCGTTGTCGTTATTTCCAATTCCCGTAACACAAGAGCTTTAGTTACTTACTTTGGGATTAGAGCAACAGATGTGATGTTGAATATTTAATATTTATAAAATTAAAGCTCAATTAATAAAATTAATTTGACCTCAGAAACGGACATCACGGGCAGTATAACGGTATCATTTGAACACTGCTTCAGAGCAACTAATTTTAACTTTTATTGACACCTGTCTTGAATTCTTAGTAACAAGGAATTCAGGGCATATTTCATTATGTATTTGTCATCATGCGAAGGTTCCATTTATCAATTCTAGTGTTTAACAGTATGAACATACGTTATATATTACAATGCAGTTATGTAAAAGTTTGAACTCTACATAACCTACATATAAATTTCGTAGCTCATTTGGTAATCTTTTAATCTTTGTAATACAAATTATTTAAAGAAACCTGTCTAATTTACATTACTCTTTTTTATGGTACTGCGTACCGTTTTTTTATACATTCTGTTTTATATTAAAATAGAATATAGAAGCTAAATTTTCTTCAAAATAATATTATTCACACCTTTTCTTTGAAAGACGTTAGTTTATCGACAAAGAAACCCAACTTAACAACTTGTAAGATGTTTGTTTGAACTTTGGTATTGTAAGATTTCTCCCTAGGTTTTCTGAAAAAATCTTTAATAACACCAACTTCAAAGAATACACGTGGTACAAAATGTGTTATTTGGGGTTGAATCCTTTATGGATCTGCGCATATAAAATAGTACTATTGTCTGATCTTTTTTATAACAATCTCCCTGTGTCACACGTGGACATTTATTACGTTGGATCGACCCAAAAATCCAGCTTCTACGCTATCAGCTAGTAGTTTGCACAACTGTATTAGGATTGTAAGTTAGTAGGAGTATTATTATTATTATTAGGGTGGCTTATTCACCTGCCCTTTATCACTGCGACCAGCATTTGGTCTGTTGTGGTGACCATTTATCACAACACGGAGCCAAGACCAACGGAACTGGGCCCCAATTCTGCAAATTCTCTTGAGACCACTGATAATTGAAATTTCATTGAGTCGTCATTGAGATTATATAACAATTATGAATGCAAATATTGCAATTATTTTCGCAAGCAGTAGAGCTCCTTGTGAAAGAGTTCGTCCAGGGAAGTACTACCACCTTACCTATTTCTGTCGCCAAGCAGTAATGTTAGCATTACTGAGTTCCGGCTTAGAAGGGGTAAGGGTGCTGGTGAAATTACAGGCACATAGGACTTGTCAACTTATGTCTCAGGGTGACGGGCGCAGTGGCAGTGCCCCTCAGATCTTTGCGATTTGAAGCTCTGAGTGGCACTGCAACTGTTATGGACAGGCGTGTCGTTTACCATCAGGCGCACGACTTGTTCGTCCCGTCACTTGATATTATAAAAAAAATGATGATATTTGTTATAAAATCTAGTTGCAGTGACAATTGAGTCTCAATCCAGTGTCATTGGAATGACAGTGACGACATATATCGTAACTTTTGTCACTTTTAATCAGCAATTTAGTCTTCATGTTAAATGTATTTTTTATTTTTTTATTTCATCAAGACAACTATGATCCAATTAATGTTATTACACACAGCCTTGTAAGGTACAGCCTTAAAACTATGTTAGTACTTAAATTCTATAAGAGACTTCGTAGTCTGTATTAACTGCCGCATCACTGGGCACTCAATCCTTCAACCAATTGTCTTAAGGAGGCTATTGGGGCTGACACGTATTCTGTTCAGTAGCGACGCCGATTTTTTACAGATGACAGCCATGAAACTGTCCACACGCGCTTTCGCAAACATGGCTGAGGCACTGCAGAAACATGACAGCCCCAACAGCGTCCTAAAGGCCTGCTCCATGGCCGAACGGTTACCATACCGGGCTTCCACGCAGAAGTCCCAGGATCGATTCCCAAGCCGGGAGAAATATTTATATGGCCCACGTTTATTTCTCTCGTGAGTTTGGGTGTAATTTGTGATTGTCTATGTGTGTGTCCATGGCACCCGCGACACAGGGTTTCCCTGGTGTGCGGGGCTACGTTGAGTGTGTGCGTTATTATTATTATAAAGGCATTGTTGTATTGCATGCGCAGAGCATCCAGTGAGCGCTGAGCGTAACTCGTCCACAGGGTGCCATCGTACAGTGGTGTGCAGTTCGCTCTAAAGAGCGTTGTCTTCATTACAGCAGTACATTTGAATATCGCAGTTGAATAGTAGATCGACGGCTAGCCAGTGACAAGCCACTACTCTTCAGCAGAATACCAAACGTACAAAATTTTGCCATTGACACTACGATACAACTGAGATGATTTAAAATTAGCATGCTGGGGGCCCTGTAGGATTGTCATACCTATATGTCCAGTGGGCCCATAATATTCGTTAAAAAGCAGGATTTATTTAGGAGATGCAGAGGAGTTTCATCCGCTCCATGGCACAATCTACAGTTCCCTCTTTCTTTTCGCTTGAGATCAGACATGTGCTTATTCAAACTACAGTGATCCATGAGAGTCGGTAAACTTAATCTGGTATTCAGAGTAGCATACTTCAGCACTTCATATAACTACAACTACCAACTACATGTGAAACTTCATTTTTGCGTTAGTCTGTATGCGTCTTATTTCTCATACGGTT